GCTTCTGATCTGACATTCATTTGCTAGTGTTGTTGGCGTAGTTTGCCTGCAGTGCTAACAGCACTTCCTTCCATATTTACCTCATCTTGATCATTTTAATATTTATTGAATGTATATTTCATAGCAGCAGTTTCATGAGCAATTTCATCTTTCATATGGAACACAGCCATGATTATTCAGTGTTGCATAAGCACAAAAGAAATCCCTATTGAACGTGTAAAGTTAATTTTAATTGAATTGAATTTGTTGCTCTTGTTTTTTTTTCTTTCTGTTTAGGAGAAATATTTTTATTCACCAAGGAGTTCAAATGTTTCTTTTATTTGCAATTGCAATTTAAAAAAAAAGGATGTGCTGATGTTTCACATTAAAAGCCCTCTATGCAGAGAGTAAAAACACCTTTAAGATTTTTATTTAATAGTTTTTCATGGAAATGGAGTCACCCTGCAATCTACAAGCGTTTGATTACTAGTGTGTCTAAGTGCGCAATTTACTACCTTTGAATGAACTTTCTATGGAACGTTGCTTTCAACAGTGATGCCAAGAAAATCCGAAAGATTCGGTGCAGTGACAAAATTCAGCTTTAGAAAAAGACGGAAGGCTAATGACAAGTCATAAAAAGTCTTGTTGTATCACTGTTGCATTTGTAACTTTGATAGTTGTCCCCTGTGTAGTTAAAGGAGTGTAAATTTTCAGTTGAATTCAATTTTATTGTATTTATACAGCAGCAAATCACAACAGTCAACTCAAGGCGCTTCACATTGTAAGGTAGACCCTACAATAATATGGAACAGGTATTTTCTGAAAATACAATATTTGGCATCTGGTTAATTTTGACCCTCTGTAATTGACCAATAGTTTGTTGCTCATGAAAAGCCAGTTGATTGATGGATTAACCCAGATTGGTTATAACCACTTCATAACCATAAAAAAATTTATAAATTATTTTTTTATGGTACAACTCTACTAATGGTTTATTGATTTCTGATCAGTGGAGCGTAAACTTCCCATCTGTGTCAACAACCACAAATAAAACACTACCCACCAGAAATGCAAAGCAAGCCCCCCCAAAAAACTGCAACAGGAAACTAACTGGATTCTCAACAAACACAATACATGATTATGTGTGGATCCATTTTGTAGGCGGGCTGATCATCAGCCCATCAGGCCCATGCTGTCAGGATAATGTTGCAGATTGATCTGTGATTGAAGTTTAATTAACATGAGCCCGAAAACCCGTAAAAACCTGTTACAGTGTTTTTGGTGCCCAGCTTTAATGACTGGCTATAATCTTGTAGGGTGTTTACTGCTGCATAAGAATCATCAGTATTAGTTCCATTATTCCATTTCAAAAGATGCCCTTAATTAATTGTTCTAGTGATTCATTCGTCGCTTTGTTTTTTTTCTTCGATGCAATTAATCCTTTGGTGTGTCCTTGGTGAGAAAGTGTCTCTCTCTTCATCTGAATACATTTTAAATGAGCTGCCTGTGGCTTGAGTATAAATTTGATGTTATTTTTTGCTCTTCTGCGGTGGCAGAATTTCATCAGATTAGCAGCGCGTCTGGTTTAGAAGTCGCCGTTGTGCCTCCTGCCCTGCTCTGAGTCTCGTCTGGCAGTGTTGTGTTGCGCTGGGCAGGGCTTGGCACCGTGTGCAGGGGGGACAGATGGTCTTACGTGTGATCTAGTTTGAGGTCCAGAGCCGTACCCCGACAGGGACCCTGGCAGCTGATAAGCCTGGCTTGACGTCCGCGGTCCCTGGGTGGGACTCCGACAGCGACTGCGACACGACGGGCCACCCAGGTGTCGGCCAGACAGAGACACTCTCCTCCTCTCTTCCAGCCACCACAGCCAGCTGTTTCATCTCTGCTGTTACCATAACAAACAGGAAAACATTACAAAACAGGCCTGAAAATCTGTTCAAACACCATGATAAAACTATAATGCCAAGATAGCCACAATATTTCCAGCAATTTGCACCAGTTGAGTAACCCAACAAGCCAGGTTTATTATACCCACAGCATGTAAAGCATACTGAAGGGTGAAATCAAGCAGCAGACAGATATTTTCAGACAGCTTTAGCACAGAAGCTTAGTGGGTGGGTGGGTGGTTGTAACGTCTAAGCTTTTTAATGTGTCTACAATTGTGCGTGCCAGCATTTTGGGAGCGATAGGTTTGATGGATGGAGACAGGCTAAAGCCGAACTGCAGCGCTGCCGTTTTGTTGCCGCTCGCGTTATTCATGATGTTGTCGTGCATGAGGTTATCACAGCAATGCTCTCATCCCCCCCTAACGCCGTGTCACCAATCCGCGGCTCTCAGCACCAGGAGACTCATCAAGTCATCATAGATCAACTCATGTTGTCATGGATGGCATTGAAAAAGTAACAAGGGCAAGCTATCGGGTGCCCGGATAGTACAGCAGGAGCTGAAAACTGCATTTATTTTAGCCAACCTGCGTGACTCTGGGTTGGCTGGCCTGATGCACTCCACGGTTAGTCAGCACTCCCACCGCTTTGCCAGCTCAGCTTTTATTCCTTGCCCTGGAAATTGAGTTTTGCTGGCCCTGTAATGTACTCAAAACTACATCTGCAACTGACTGATAAATCTACGCTTTGTTGCACCTGACGGATAGCTGTGAAAATGAAAATTCACCGCGGCACGTTGCTGTGTCAGGAGGAAGGTCACTTTAGATTTGCCTCTTCCCCACTCAGGATGATGCCAAAATGACCATTTTGTCTCAGAATCCAGTCGCAAAGCTAAACTATCTTCTTAAGCTCGTTCTGTACGATGTGACGACAGGTTTATGTATTGTTTCGATGAACTGCTGTCTCTCCCTGGCTGCATGGCAACACTATGAGAGCAGGCTTAAAAAAGCACAGCTCCTTCCACGATGAGTAAATAATATCCATTATTTGCTGAGGGAGAATGGCTTTGTATTTACACAGCAGTGATTGTGTGTGCCGCGTTACATACATGAGGGTGCTATTCGGCCAGCTTGATAAATACCACAAGACAGCAGATCTTTATTGCAGACTAGCAGTTGGGGTCTGACACTCCAAAGACCAATTTCAGACCGTTAACAAGGCCTGGACAGGAATACCTCACAGCAAAATGTCACAAGGCCTCCCTTTCCGCACCTCTTTACTCTTCCCCTTCTGCGGCTCCCCTCTCGGTTCCACCATCAGCTCTCCTCCGGACATTCAGCGAATTGTAGTTCCTCTCTTTCAATTTGCCCACCATGTTACCTCGTTCCACAATGTGCTGCCCCGGGGGATCGTGGGTAGGCAGGAGCGGTGGCCCCAGCCAGGTCCGCAGAGAGCTGATAACCTTTCAGTGTTGCTTTAGCACGCTGTGTAAAGAACAATCAGTGCTTATCAACCTCGACGACAGGCGAATGTTAATTCAATGTCATGCAGTCAGGCTGCAGCGGGAGAATGGGAGCATCACTTGGTTACGCTGTGACAGCCTGACGTCTTCTGCCACCAAATAACTTTAAGAAGACTGGAGAAAGGCTTGTTTTTGATTGCCTTTCTGATATGTAATCTCCTCTCTCTAATCTATCTATAAAATGCTACTAAAAATGAATTTAAGGTTTACAGACCCCTGCAGCTGTCATTTGTGTCACAACTGCATAAAGTCTAAAAACAATAAGTCCAGCACCATAGCAATACTGACATCAGAAATAATACATTTGACATTTGCGAGGGCCTAAAACCAAATTACAGCTGCTAGCCTGCCACTAACATGTTGGCCAAATGCCTCCATAAGTGGGTTTACTGTGTAGGGAACACAGCTGCCTGTGTTGTTTGTGGTTTATTTTGAGTAAAACCTGCTAGAAGTGCTCAAATAATGTCACTGTCCATTGGGGCTTAAGACTGCAAGTTTGAAAGTGTAAATCTGGGGGTGCTGAGTGCAACAAAAAATAAAATAAAAATAAAAAAGCAGTCTAACCAGACATCTGCAGTCCTTTTCCTTCTATTATTCACCATCGCCGCCTCAACAATTCCCAAACTGTCACTGATCTGTTAATGTTCAATTTGCATTGTGGGTTTGTTGGCATCAGGTTTTGACAAGAAGAATGTGTAGACTGAAAAACCCATGGTGCTGCTGCATCAATTTTACTAATGCATTTGTCCATGCTAAATGAACACAGTTTTCTCCTCCCACAGTTACTGGACAACAAGACACATGTAAAAAACAAAAATATATATAATATATAATAATTTTTGAAAATTGGTCAAAAAACACACAAAACGCAGATTGTCTGTTATTACAATCTGCGTTTTGTGTGTTTTTTGACCAATTTTCAGTCATGTCATTTGTCACGTTCTAATATGGCCACAATGATCTCCAGTGTATAAAAGCTATGATCTCTTTAGGTAGGCAGGCTAAAAACAAATAATCGCCTAAATTGTGGCTACACCTGTAAAACACAATGGAGATATGCCACCACCACCACAGCCTCCAGCTAATTAGGACCTCAGTGGGGGAAAAAGATGGATTCATCTGCTCTCTGATGATGCCAAGAAAAATGAAGATGTGTGCATTTTGTAACAGGATCAAATTTATGGCCAAGCTGTAGCTGGACTAAACTTCTCAGAGTATAATTTAGCTTAAACAAATGAAACATTATTATGTTTTAATTTCCACCAAGAAAAAAATGTCAAAACGGGAAGAGGGGGGAAGCAATCTTTCTGTGCAGTTGCAGTGAAAGCTTGCATTAGCAAGAGAGTAATTTATGGACCGCCAGCTGGCCTGTAAAGGTTACTACCACAGGCAATTCTGACATGCCAGTTCAACAAGAACCTCATTAAAATACTACAGGCTTTTAGAGACATCAACGTATAAGGTTACCTTTGTGTCTGGTGAGCATAAAAACAACAGATTTGTTTGTTATGGGGAAAAAAAAGTTGACTTTTTCTGCAGTTTTTCTCTCTCGCTCTGTGAATCTGTCTCTCTGTCTAATTTACCTCTTTGACCTGATGTCTTTCTTTGCCTCCCAGCACGAATTGTTCGCAGCCGCCAGTGGTGTGAGATGGCTCCCTGCATGGAGGGGGAGGTCTGCAGCCTCCTGTTCAACCGATCCGGCTGGACCTGCACCAGGGGCAGTGGTCGCATCAAGACCGTCACGGTAATTTACTAGACGTGACATTAATATACGCCATATGCACATAACAGCAATGCGCCTACATTTTCAGCATGAGCGAACCCCCGCCAGCCGATAGTGTCAGGTGAAGCCTGAGCCCTGGGCTACAGGGAGTATATTTCAGTCAAACAGCAGGTCAGCATCCAGGTTTCAAACACTGCATCAATAGTGGAACAAAGATGCCAGAAAATTCATGCAGCACTGCTCTCTGTGGGATCAAACTTTGAAGATTTTTTTTAGATATCTTTAGGCCTCAGTCTGGTTTGTTTTACACTTTTACAGGAGTTTTGAATTTTGGTAATTCAAACTTTTGAAACACTGAAGCCTGAATCTGTAGTATATACAGTAGTAGTGGTGCAAAGATGTGTTGGGAGGTGCATAGGAAGAAAATCTCATGAAATTAGTGAAATCATCATTAGTTTTTACTGATCTGCAGCTCCTAAGTATAAGATGTTCAGTTACAGAGCTGCTGGATCAGCCCTGTGCTGTATCACATTTGCACTGAAAGCAAGCAGTGTACCATATTACCCGGGCTACTTGTGGAAAACTTTCTTTTTCCTACATCCTGGATTATTTTACAGAATGGCTTAAACACACTAGCCAAGGCTCAGTCATCTCCTCCCAAAGCTAAAACAAATCATTTGAAGCCAGTCAAATCTGAATCTGAGACCAAATCACACGAGCTAGGAACTGCAAGTGAATCACACATTTGGAACAAATGTTCTGTAGTTATTATTCTGTCTTTGTGTTTTTATGGAGAAGGTGGAAGCTGATGAAAAACGTCTGCAAATGCAAATGCAAGACAGATATATGTAGTATGTAAAAATGTTGACCAAAGCATTAGGCAGTGTGCAGACAGATAACATTAGTGTCTGACCTCTCTCTGACTTTGTTAGAGATTTAAACGAATGCAAAACATGTTGAATTTTTAAAACCCTCAATATGGTGTCATCTGGTCCTCTGTAGGCTCCTCTCACAGTGCATCCAATGCCTCAGAGCTGCCAGTGCTGCATCGCTTACTGAGCACTGATTAATTCTCATTTGATTAAGCAGCGAAACAATGCACAAGGAGCATTGCTAGTCTCCACGAGGGTTAACTTCATATATTTTTTGTATCAATGCAAAAGAATAATCATTATGAATGCATTTGAAAGCAAAGAATAAAGAAAAATATCTACCCTCCAGACATTACTGCTTGTTTAGTGAACATTAGAGTCACCATGGATACAGGTCTCTCCGTCACTGTGTGCTTCACACTATATCTCTAGGCAATTTCACACTATGCAGCTCTATGCTCCATGAAAATGGAGCAATTTTGTATTCTTTCTGTACAATTCAATGTAATGCATTTCTCTTAGCAGGTGGCCACCTTCCTGCTATGACTTGTGGAGATATGGTGTTGATAACCTTTCTTTGACAAGTCATGGAAACAAATACTGATAGGTTTGTAGCTTGAACCTATTCGCTGGAACGTTGAAGACAATATAATTACACAGCAAGCAAGACACAAGTAGGCAAAGTTCTTCATGTTTCTCGTGCACCGGAGAGACCGGACAAACGCCGTTCCTTCGCTTGACCCCAGTTGCTCTCGTCCGTTCTCCCGTAACACTGCTCTTTTATTGAGGTTACATGAATATGCATAGGTTCATTAACATATGACGTCTACATACACACAAAGAGTACCTTGCCTGTGTGTGTGTGTGTGTGTGTGTGGTGTGATTTGTGTGAGGTCAAGATGTGACCCTGTGAAGACTCCCCAAAGCTGGTGCCAGGAGTCTAGCGGGTCCATCTGAACAAAAGGCTCTTATACTTAAAGAGATATACGTGTGTTTGCTATACCATATATCAACAAAGAGAGAGATACGACCTCTCCTAGGAGGTGTGTGATCTTATCAGAGTTGTTACAGACCTCCTAGGATGAGACATTCTTTAAATGTACAAATGATTATATACCTCTAAGCATATATGGTTAAATATTTCTAAGCATAAATGACAATCAACAATACAAAACCTAACAAATACACTTCCTCCAAAAAACGTCAGCCGATCCCAGTTATACTGCTGGCATGTCCTCTATACTTTTGTTTAGTATGGTTTGCGCTTCCCACGTTCATGAAAATTTTGAAGAGGGCCTAACGACTGTTGGTGACAAGCTCGGCTGGACAAGTTTCTTTTTAGTCATCTGCTCCTTGAACAGCAAAGAGCCAAACTGTGGTCATTAAATCTCTGAGCCAACTGGCTGACTTTATAACTCTTCAAATTTTATTTCTGCACCACCTTTTTGCATTTACCAGTGTTACCTTGCTTGCTCGGCTTTTCGCTGTCATTCCCAGGGTGTCAAATACAGATTGTGCAGATCTGTCACAGAAATCTGCACAAGTTGTCTTCTGGCATCAGCTGCAGCAGTATCAGACACCGAGGCCTAACAATCTGCCAATGCATGATAAAATCTACAGCGGTGGAGAGAAAAAAGTTTATTTGTTAGCCAAGAGACTGGAGCTTTTGTCACATATTTTGGGCATATTAATGGCTCAGTCATACTAGAGGAAAAATAGGACAGCAACCTTCTTGCCAGTAGGAAAAACTGGTGGTTGTTGTCAATTAAAAAAAAAATTGCAGTGACCCAAAGGTTGAAAGTGCAACCCTCTCAACCTCTGGGCGATCGCTTATGATCACAAGGGGATTGCACAGGTTGCCTGGGGAGAGACAACCTGTCTCCAAACAACCGCTGTCTGTCTCATTCCCTCGGACTCTCAATCATTCTCAGAGTGAAGATGTGCAAATAATTGCCATTAAATTTAAAAATGCAGACGGATTCCCAACATATTGCTATCCATCTGAGTTAGTCAAGTGCAACCCTTTTAGACAGCAACAGACTGGAAATGGTTGCAGACCTATTCCCTTTTTTCAAAGGCGACAAGATCATCAAGCTCTTTGCACATGATTGGCAGAATTCTGGCTGCAGCAGTCTCCAGCTAGTGTTGTTGCCTAATGTAGCATGAGATATCTAGAAATGCTTAGCATCTCTTGACAATGCTTTGGATGAAAACAGGATTTTTTGTTTTTAACTCCAGATCTTAAACTTTATAACAGTTGCTTCGTCTTGGTAAATATCAAAACAAACTGAATACACACAATCACTGAAAAATAGTCTTTTTTTAATGAATAAAAACATAATTTCTGTCAGTGAGTATCAATCTAAAAAACCTTGCTTTGGACTCAGGACTTCAGTTCTGCATGTAGGAAAAGGATTTAGTGAAAGTACAATCAAATATGAGACCGAGAGGTCCTGTGCAAGCATCCATGCGCAACAAATTGGAACTGAGACCAATCTCAATGTTGGCATAAACCCATTGTGTCACAGCGCCAATGCCAAAGTGCCAGTTTGTATGTATCTGTGGAATACCATGTCCTTTAAGCTATCTCCTTTCAACAGAACATACATGAGTTCATTGGATCATTTAAATAACTGTAAGTGGCTCAATAAAAAGAAGTAGGCTCATATTTATGGACAAACACTATTTTGATTGTACCTTCATGCCAGTAGAGTGAATACATTTTTTACCTGCCTGATATCTGCCTCAGGTAAGATTATGTCAACAGAAAGAAACAGAGGAGTATAACTTACAGAGGCAGTGCAAGTGAAACAGCTTGGTGTTGTCAGCAAGAGATGACAAGATGGACAGAGCAGGAGAGACCGCTGTCCTTCCCGTCAGGTACAAGGCCAAAGGTCAGCCTCTGACCGGCTCTGTTGATTTTCACTCTCTCTTATCTCTCTCATTTGATGTCTCTTCATCTTGTTCGCTCCTCTGCCTCCTCCGTCCAGCAGCCCTGGGCAGCTGTGACAGATTTCATGCATGCATTCCCGCCGTGCTGTAATGTATCCTGACAGCACACTTAGGTTAGTGTTTTGCTTTTTGTACATACATATACAAAAAATGCAAATGATGTGTTCCTCTGCACATTCTTAATTATCTGTTGCTGAGCAGATTTTTGTTGAAGAAGTTAATCTGAAGTGATGTCAGTGGTTTTTTTTGGGGTGGGGGCTGGGGTGGGGGGGTTGCCTGTTTGTTATTTTCTGTTATGTATTTTTGAGGGGGCAGGGATAGGAAGGATTTGGCAGTAGAAAAGAGGAGGTATCAAGAGGTATTTGTTGTAAGACCTAAAATGGGAGGAAAGCACATTCTGGAAGATAAATGAAAATGAGAAATCTATAAAGAGGATTGATCAGGCTGGAGGGGGGATAGAAGGATGAAGAGAGAGAACAGGATGGAGGACTTGGCTGCTTCTCGGCCTCCGGCCAAGCTCTGTCTGTCCACATCTGCAAGTATCTGGGAGAAGGAGAGTGCAGAGAGGAGGTTTTAATTGCGAGACAATCTGTCTTCACGTGGTTAATAATCATATTACACACTGGCATTCGGGGAGTGTGGTTTTCTGAAAGCTGATAATGGCTCTTTATTCATGCTGAGGTGCACAGGTTTGATGTAGGTGGAGCTAGCAGATACAACAAAGTGACAAATCTACCTGATGGTGACAAATTTTCCAGAAAGCCATGCATCCAATAAAAGACAATGTGGTTAGAATAATTATACATTGAAGCCGATGTTTTTTCTTTTTCATATCTAAGTCGAGTATGAAATCTCTTTCTAATAACTTATCAAATCTATATGAATTCAGTCAGCTAGGGCTGCCACGATTAGTCGACTAGTCACGATTACGTCGACTATCAAAATCGTCGACGACTGATTTAATAGTCGACGCTCGTTTGAAGCTTTGTAAGATCACAAAAGACGCAGGAATAAGTAGTAGGATTTAAGAGTGTAATAACGGACTGAAACAGAAGATGGCAGCACTGCATGTACAAGGATGCCAGCTGCCGTTAAACCCCGAAGAAGAAGAAGCTTTGTCCCAGAATTCATAGCGCAGCCCAGCTCAGTTTCCAACAATGGCGGCAGCTAGTTAGTTTTAATATTATCTTATTAAAA